TGACTGTAAGTGACACAAACTTGAGAAAGCCTGAAGATATTATAAATTTCACAGGAACCAGAACAAGGCTAGGAGGCTGCAAAACTTTTGAGCTCTAGGTATTCTGTTGTGGACATAACGGATGATATCCTTGCTCCATTTAAGTCAGCAGCAAACAACCACTAACTTCAGTGCATTGGGATTTCAGTCTATAAATCAGAAATTTCCCAGGTTCAGCACTTTTCTCTCCAGGCTTTCAGTTACAGAACTTTGGAAACTGTCTGCTCCCAGAGTCTCTCCCTTTCTCTCTGTTTGTGCATACATATCTATGCATATATATGTCTATACACGCATGATATTGCACTATGAGTAGAATATAACTCTAAATTTTATTCTAGGACTTCTCTACTTCAATATGGACAGAGTTTCACCATAACGTTCTTATAAACAGGTTCCACTCTACTCCACGTGGTATACACCCAGATTAAAGGCTTGATTAAAGGCTCCCGATTAAAGGCTTGATTGTGATTTAAATTAAATCTGGGGTCTTTTTATGGATGTACCTGGCTGAGGATTATTTGAGGTTGAGATGCTCCACAATCTGATGTGCTTTTCCTTTGCTAGGAGATCATTACGATGGTGCTGGAACTCCTCTTTTTATCAACTGCTCTATTGAAAAAAAAGGCCTCATGAAAGGTTCTAGTAAGAAAGTCCTCATGAAAAGTTCATCTGAGGTTTTAGCAAAAAGGGAAATTAAATTCATCTTATTCATTTTAAATGAAGAGTGTTTTTTTGGCTAAATCCCAAAATACCAGCCTGAAAAAGCACTCCTAGTGTTATTGCTTGTAAAATACTAAATACTATTTTCAGTGAATAAAGGTAAAAAACTTTTTTTTTAAAGTTTTCCCCTTTCTTGTTTAATTTGCACAAACGCTGTAATAAAAAGATCCTCCTTAACAGTTTCCCATTGTATTTTGTATGGTCTAAGACTTAACCTGAATATGTCCTAGGTTATGTTAGCATATGTATTTGATCATGACTGAGGAATTAGCTGGGTGGAATCCTCCTCCCCTATTAGTGAAGGGGTCATTCAAAGATTGGAACATCCTGTGTTCAAGGGTGATACTTGTGTTAGGAAGCTGGAAAAATTCTTCTGGGGGTGGCTACCAATGTTCCATTACATTAAAACAGATCTCACAATCATAAGCCTCATGTTCTTCTGAAACAGTGTTAGACAAAATGATCAGGTTATCTTTCAAGGGTATGTTTCTACTGTACTTATTTACTTTGTAGAAGAGACTGCTTTCTAAATATCCTGACTTAGGTTAGATATGAGTGAATGAGGAATCCCACCTGCAAGAAATACCTAAATTATGTACTATTTACAAGAAGAACCAAAAGAAAACACTATTTGGAAACAAAATCTATAAACTTGTGTTACTTAAAGTTTGGAAAACACAAGGTCTTATGTGGAATTATTTCCATTGCCAGAGGAGAAAATAAGCTGGCAACTGTATTAGTATATAAATAGCTATGGTATTTTCCCATGAAGAGCTACAGGTTGTCATTCAAAGAAAGTCTTCAACTTAATTGCAAAAGGATCACTGAATATTTTCAATATTCTTAATGGGAACTTGGCTATTAAAGTCATCATTGGACTGTATACTTCCTATTATTTTAAACAGTAATCTGCATAAAACAACACTAGTAAGTTTAGTTTATCACCATTTAATCACAAAGAGTAATTCTAGGTTACTCCCTACTTTTGATGTGCTTGTGAATAGTAATCCTTCAAGTACTACACTAATACTTTTTGTTGCACAAGCTTGAATTTGATTTTTGTTTAAATGCATTCAGTATCAGTTTGACTCTGCTGTTATTGAAGCCAGTGGTAGTTTTACTATTGGCTTAAGGAGGAGCAGAGGTAAGCAAATATTGAGTACCTTGGAAAATCTCATCCCTGATCAGTTCATATAACATGCTAGTATTAAATAACTCCCAAAGGTTATTCATACCTTAAATTCCTCCAAGATTTTGTAATTTTTTCCATGATATTCACAAAAGTTTTTCACTTCCTTGCATTCCGGGCAGCATCCATTGTGTTCCACTTTAGTACATTTTGGGTGAATTTTGGGGCATTCTGGTTGATCACAAACAGGTCCATCCTCAGTACAGACACAAGGACAGTTGGAATGCCCTGGGAAAAAACGTTCTCCCAGTTTGTATACAAAGCCACTGTCATCCACACAGCCTTTCCCTCGGTAGTCATCAAAGATCAGATTGTCATTACTTGAGGTCTGATCCCCTTCATCAGCAGGGTAGTCTTCATGATTGATAGCAGCAGGGGTGACCAAGCCAGAGATTAATAACAGAAGTATGCAGGCTTCATGAATATGAAGAGCCATCCCCCTCCTCAACTTCTCCATATGATCCTACTTTCAGTTATAAACAGCTGCTTCCATAGGGATACCAAAAAGCAGGGGCTGAAAATAGATATTTTAAATAAACACAACTTGAATTATTAACAAATACATACTTAGTAAGGCCATGTGCTCATTCTGTATCTGTGGATAAAGCTTACTGCTAGCAATGCCTAGCGATAAGAAACACTGTTTCATTTTAAACAAATATCTTCTTCCAAATTATTTTTAAGGAGAATAAAGAACAGAAAATCTCTAAATGAAGCTAATAATTGTGTGTGTACACACACGCATAAACACACACACACACCCCCACAGATAACCTCCATTCAGGCTGGTTTACAGTATTAACTGGATTATCTGATATACAGGAAGTGGAATTATTTGCCTTAAATCACATGGTGAAAAGTTAGTTCAATGGGATTTGAATTATTGTTCCTTTCCTTCTGAAGTAACCATGAAAACCAATAAGTACAACAATAATAATCAGAGTTGTAGCCAGGCATATGGTTCAAATATGAAAGACAATGCTGAAGTTTGTTTAATTTTAGAGACAGGTGGCTGTAGTGTTTTAATTATAGTATTCCTGCAGGAAGAGCCAAGGTAGTTGGGTTAGGACCATAAGCATTATTGAGTATTACTTAGAAACTGACATTTTCAGGGAACAGTTTAAAAAACATTCTGAATAGGTGTTCATAGATAAATATTTAAAATGTTCAGTGCATACAGTTATTATATTTGTCTTAAAGGCATAGGGCCACTATTCATTCTAAAATGTCATACAGGTACATGGAATTTTTACACTTTTGGCAATGGAGTGTTGTTCTTAAGTATTCAAGATACTGCATTGAGAAAGAAGGAAAGCCTACTACTATTCACACCAAGAATAATCAGGTTAAAAAAAAGGCTCAGCATATATTTTCCTGGCACACAGTAAGCTATACTGTTTACCACATCTCTGCCTCTAAGTATACTGTCTCAGTTCTTTTATATATACCTTGCAGAATCTGGAAGAAAAAATGGTCTCTGTCCTGCTTTAAGGTAACTGGGCATGGACTGGCTGTCATACAATCAAAAGTGTTTCCAGGAAACTTTTATCAAATGAAATATTAGTGCTATATTTATTAGGAAGGAGGTATGTGGAGGTTGATAAAAACAACAAATAGAATAAACATGTGCCTGCATTTTTATACACACACACACACACACGCATGCACACACATAGATACAGAAATACAGATTTTGTCTTACTCCTAAAAAAGAAATGTTTATTGTATATTGAGATTTTTGGCTGATGTTCAATATTTCAATTAAAGAAACAGTGTGAAAGAAAAATGTATTAGGAGAAAGCTCTAATCATACAGGAGAAGCTAAGGGATTCTGTTGACAAGGCATTTTTTCTAAAGCTACAACAGAGGGAGACACCGGATATTACACAAGCTTTATCAAAATCAAAAGATATTTTCTTAATTAAAGTTCTGTATAGCTTTTTATCACAAGGGTAATGTACTGTGATACTACCAACAATATCTTTTGTAACAGGATGTTTAAAAAATGGGTGATGCTCAAAGATAAGTTTGCATTATGGATCTGGGGACTGTTGACTTGCTCACCTACAGGCTACAGGTAGGCATAATTTTTTCAGGCTCAGGTAAGTGAAAGTTTAAGAAAAAATGGAACCAATAGAAGAGATTTATATTGAAGGTAATCAAAAATTATCCAATCATTTCCCTAAATCTACCCAACTTTAAAGGAAAGGCAGCAAATAAAACCAAGTTCTATAAGGAGTAAAAATAAGTCAGTTATATGTTGTTATAGCCTGTGGTCATCTCAGATGTCCCTTGGCAACTTCAGAGGCTCAGTTTAATGAACAGAATGGAAACTGAGCAGAATTCAGATCTACACTACAGAAAAATTTCAACAAGTAAACAAACCCTACACAGCTGGGAATTACTTTACAACTGAACTTTTTATAATTTCTCATTAAAAGAGATGCTGGATAGTGTCTTACTCTGAGTAAAGGTCCCCCCTCCCCTCCACCCACCCCAGT